CTTGCGGGAACAGTTGACGTAGTCCTTGTACATTTCGGAGCGCAGATAGCGCGAATACGAATCGCTCTTCATCAGGTGATACACGTGCGAGGCGGCCACATCGAAGCACCAGCGATTGGGGCCATTTGGCGAGTTGACCGCTTCGCGGGCCAGCTCCACGGATTTGGAGTCCACGTTGACCGGACACGGCGCATCGGGGGCGAGAAACTCTTGCCAGATCTTTTGTATGGCCTCCTTGATCTCGGACTGTGGCAGCGCCTTCATCTCCTGCACCGACTCCCAGAATCTGAACAGTGTTGCAAGAGAATAAGTATAAGAAAGAGGATAAGGATTGCCGCAGCGGGTGCGTAGCTCACTTGAGATTTTCGCCGCTGTATTCCTTTTCCAAAAACTTTGTGAACTGATCCCGTCCAATGGGATCGTTAAGCAGCTCCCGCAAGCTGAAGGCCCATCGCTTCACCCGACGTACAGGAACATCTTTGCTGCATGGGGAGACAGAGGGCAATGTGGATTCAATTGGAAGAGCAGGCGCTTCGAGAGGCTTACCTATTTTTCTCGGTATCCCACATCTCGGTGCTGTCCGTTTGCCATGGATTGGGTAGCTCCGGGGAGGTTAAGAAGTAGTCGAACTCATTGTACTGATCGTAGTAGGCAACCAAGCTGAAACAAGGTTCATCAAAATCAAGGTCAAATGAGATAGGGAAAAACCAGTAAGCGTCTTGGGTACTCACGCTTCGGCCGCTTTGGACACTTTGATTGTGCGCCGTTCGAGCTTCTGTTTGCGCAGCGCAATGATGCGGGTCAGCTGCTCGACGGGATTCTTGGCCACCGAGGCGCCAGCGGAGCCGGTGCCATGGCTGGAGCCGCCGCGTCGATACGCCTTCTTAATGTCTATCTCGGTGGTATTGACACAGCCCGGCATGGGCCGATGCACATCCCAAAAGGCTCGCTCCTGCGAATCGAGAACCTTCCGCTCCAGCTTGTCCCGCTTCTTGGCCACTTTGCTCTGCGACTCGGCCTGCCAGTTGGTCAATTTAGATATGCTAATTAACTGTGACCAATATATCAAATGATATCCCACACACCTGCATGAATATGAACTCCCATTTGCGCGAGAACATCTTCTGCAGCTTGGCCAGATTCTCGGCCTCGTAGTCCGCCAGCTCCAGGCGCGTCTTGTTCTGCATCGTACGCTTGCACAGATATACCGCATAATCCGTATTCTCCGGCTCCCAGCAGTTCGATGGCCAGAAATAAGGCGTCTGAAATCTAGAGCAACAAGTTCAAGTTCAAGTTCAAGTTCAGGTTCCAATCTGATTTTCGGGCTGCGTCTAAAAGTAGGCACCGCCGTCTCACCTGTAGAAAGTGCCGTCGTTCTTCACGGTCAGCGCATGATCGTCAATGGGGAAAATGTAGCCGTGCGAGCTGAGCAAGTGGGCAAAGTGGAGCGCCTCAGTGACATCCTCGACGTCGAAGTTCTTCAGTATCCAGGCGACCAGATCGGCGCCTGTAAACACCGATGGCACCTTGCTCATGAACGCCTTTACCGTGCGCACCGCCACGCCTCCAGACTCTGCCTGCATCTTCTCAATGATCGCCTCCATCTGCAAATATTCAAAAATATTTCGAAATTGAGTAAGTGCGAAAACATTCCTCTGTAGGACATTCAGACAGCTATGCTGTTAAGATATGTTAAGCTTATGTTAGATAACAGAATGTTATAGTATTGTCAACTGACGTTATTCAAATTCAATTTTCGTATATATTCCAACATTGAATGAGTCGGTAGTATGGCTGTCCGGACTGGCAAATAAAGTACTCCCACCACGGGTGGTATTATTGATAGGCATTATTCTTTTAGGCTTTATAGTACACTTTAAGTTGACTCTAGTTTTGTCAATAACTTTTATAATAAATAAATAATGAAAGATTGGGTTCTAGCTTCGTTTCTTTTCAGTTGTAAATTTAGAAGTGATTTTCTACTATGTTTATAATTAGTAGGGGTAATAGGAATAACTAATTTTGATATATATCTATTTAGATTTGAAAATTTGGAATTTAACTTCCAACTAACAATCAGATAAGACAATATTTATATGAGCAGCTTCGAAATGATTTTGAATTCAATCGATGAAACTTGAAATATCGTGAAATTCAAATGAAAGAAAAGAAACTTCTGTTATTATAATATGTTGATTGGTTAGACCTAATAAAAATGTCGAAAGTATTCCCTTATGCTTGGTATTAGCCTGCCTTGGTATTCTGCATCTCTTTCATTTACTAAACTAAGTATTCTGTTTGTTCTATAGTTGTAAAAACTAAATATTTTTTAAGAAGTATAATATAAAAATCTATAGATAATAATATTACTAGATCCACGCTATGATATCCAAAATGTCAAAGAGCTTTCAGAAAAGTAGTATACCCTGTGTCAGGGTAAGACAATTCCCGGTAAGCAATTTCAAGAGCAAACGAAATTGTTTTCTATTTTGGGCCGTGTTTATGTTATTACGAACTGAGATATCTGCGCTATTGGCCTTTTGCGAAATAGTGGAAATCTTTCCATAGCCTCGTACGTCTAACATATGTCTGTATCGATTCGTCTAGATTATTGCATTATTATAGTTTATTCGATTCGCTACGCACCTTCTTGTAGACGAGTATGTTGGGTGCATCCTCGTTTTTGCTGCCGCGCTGATGGTGCGGCGGCTGCTGCGGCACGGACGGCGCTGTCGGCGGCTGAGACTGTGCGGACTGCGACTGCGACTGCGACTGCGGCTGCGGCTGCGATTGCGACTGCGACTGCGAGGGCGAGGGCGAGGAGTGATGGTGATGATGATGATGATTGCTGCCCACGCTGAGCAGCCCGCTCGACTTGGTGGTGGAGGTGCCGCTGCCACTTGGCGCCGTTGCATCCCGTATGCTCACCGTCTTGCTAGACGGCGGGGGCGTGGCAGCGGCAACAGTTGCCGTGCAGTTGTTGCTGTTGCTGCTGGTACTGCTGCTGCTGCTGGCGCTGTTGCTAGCGCTGGCGCTGGCGCTGTTGCTGGTGGTGTTGGTGTTGGTGGCGGTGGCGGTGGTGGCGGTGGCGGTGGTGACTGCAGCGGCAATTACCTCGCTGCTGTTCGCATTGGCGCTGTCCACCAGCTGCTGTCCCGGCTCAGCATTTATTGCAGCTGCGGAAGCAACTGTTGCTGCTGCAGCATCAGCTGTTGCAGTGGCATTGTTGTTGCCGTTTGACACTGAACTGCTAACTGTTGTTGTTGTGGCCTCTGTTGCTGCTGCGACTGTTGCTGCTGCTGCTGTAACAATTTCTGTTGCCACTGCTGCTGGGATGGCTGCTTCGGTTGCCGCTGGGGCTTCAACTGCTATTGCTGGTACAGGAGCGGCCGTTGGTTCTGGATTTGGAGCTGGGGCTGGGGCTGAGGCTGGCGCTGGCATTGGCGCTGGGACTGGCGACTTCGGTGCGCTGCTCATGGCCAGCGCATTGGTTGCTTGCGTGCTGCTCTGTGTTTTGTCCGCCTCCGAGTTCATTGTTACCATTTTACACCTGCGTGCTGCTGGTTGCTCGTCTGAACCAGGCTATTTATAAATGGGCCGCCCGGCAGCCAGACTTCACTTGCAGCTATTTTGGACTCGTTGTCCCGTTATGTATCCTTTGGCGTGCGTTATCGACTTGCTGTCCGTGTGCGTGCGTGCGTGCGCGCGTGTGTGTGTGTGTGTGAGTGAGTGAGTGTGTGTCAGCGATTTAGTAGTTCACTGAATGGATGTCTCTGAGTGACTGCGTGTGTGTGTGTGTGCGCGCGTGTTTGTGCGTGTTCGTAGCTATGCGCGTTGGTATGTGTGCCTCGCACAATGTATACCGACAGCAGCAGGCTGATTGCTGCTGCAGCTCCCACTCGAGTTTGCTCTCAACTGCGCTCTGTTTCATTTATCCAGCTCCATAGTGTTGCAACGCTCGCCGCATTTGCTCCAGTCGTCTGGCGTAGGCGCCACTTTAGCCTTTTCGCTGCCGTTGCCGCTGCTGCTCGCTATCGCAATTTTTGCTTGCATAAAAAAAGCGCAGCAGAAGCGCTCAACACACTCGCACGCACTCGCACATACACGCACAGCACACACACGGACACGAACACGGACTCGCACAGGCACAGGTACACGTACACGTCGTATACGCACCCACACACGCACGCACGCACACACACACACACACGCGCTTTTCCAACTCTCCGCGGCCCAGCAAGTGCGCAATTTTCGCTTTCAATAGCTTTTTTTAATTAGTTATTTTCAGGCGGACAGGCCTCAATGTGTGATAAAATTCAATTTTGTTCCTTTTCGCTTGGCTCCCTGGCAATTGCTGCTGCTGCTGCTTTACTGCTGTTGCTGTTACTTTTGCTTTTGCTTTTGCTGCTGCTCTACTGCCTCGACCAGTGGCTCTGCTGTTGCTGCGCTTCTTCTTCTGCTGATTTGCCTTTAGCTGCTTCCTCTTTTTTTTTTTTTTGGCGTTAGCCTGTAATCATTTTACGGCTGCTAGGCACAGAGGAGGTGTAGCGTGGTGGGCGGGGTGGCCAAAGTCAATTCAAGTGCCTCTGCTTATTTCGTGTGCGTCGTTCACGTTCTCGTCGCGGCTTCGTGCCTTATTATGAGGCGCTTCCTGTAGTCGATTTGCTGTTGCAATCGATTTTTGTTTGCCCAACCTCCCACCGCCTTCTTCAGCAATACACACATACGCACTCACACACCCACACACACGCATACATTCGAAACGCTGGAACGTACACCCACATAAGCACGCCCACATACAATGACGCGAGCTCGCTCTCTTTGGTTCGCTTACGCTCTTTGTGCTGTTCACGCTCTCTTTGTTCTTATTGCTCCAGCCCCAGCCAGCTGTTCACGCGCACCAGGGCTGCGTGCTCATTGAAAGCAATGCGCCGGTCACACAATCTCCCTCCGAAATGAAAAACGTTACAATTTAAATTTTTAATTGCTTTATTTAAATGAATATGATTTTCGGCTACACTTATTTGTAAATCATTTTGTTATAGAAAACCAAAAAAAAAAAAAAATGTATATAAAATATATATGTGTATATGTATATATGCTATTTATATATATAATTGGAAGTTACTTGCTTGCTTATGTGCATTAAATTAATTTATAGTGAACTTATTATTATGGCTTTTATACAAATTTGTGCGGAGTTTTGCATTCTGGAATTTGAAAAACACTCGAAAATGGTCGCCTTATTTAAATAAATAAAAAAAAAAAAATTGTTAAGTAAATTTGTGTAGTAAGTTTATAAGCAGGATAGTTGCAAAAATAACAGTAGTCAGGGTTATTTTCTGTGCTCCTCCTGTTGCCTAAGACTAAATTCTGTGTAGCACCCAAATAACGCATTTCTCTCGCTTATTTGGCATACACAAATCGTACAAGTCATATCCTTAATATATTTACACCAGGTTTTTTTTTTATCAGTATGGAATACATTTGCTTTCGCAAATATATATGTATATATATATATATGCAATATAGTTATGATTTATATGATATATTAATATATATGTATAGCTTAAGTACACAAACTTTCTTGCATATTTTATTGGATAGCTAAATAAGAAACAGATGTGACCAACTGTATTTAAAATATTCAATATCAAGTTGAGTTGTTGTTGGCTGCCAGGGCTGGGTAATGTAACGTATGCTATCGATTTGTTGTTGATTTGAATGAAGTTTTGGGAAATCGGAACCAGAATCGGAGTCGGAGCAACTCAAACCGAGACTGAGACTGTGTGTGAATGAATCATTGACTATTTCATCTACTAGTTCCCTCGACTGAGAACTGGCTCAACTTGGCCCCCACCAACGGCTTTTACTTTAGATCACATTTGAACAGCAAGCTTTCGGGTCCACCTCCTGGGCCTAGGCCTGCTCCTGCAGCTGGGCGCGCGACTGTCGCACGGGCCGGTCGGACCACAGCGAAGCCTGGCCCCCGTTCTGCGCCTGGTAGGAGAGCGGCGGCGGGCCCAGCTGCGCCTGGGGCACCAGCTCCGCCTGCGGATTGAACTGATTGTTGGTGTTGTAGTTGACCAAGATGTCGCTGGCCAGGCTGTGGCCAATGTTGACGTTACGGTCCGGATAGTACTGCTGTTGCTGCTGGGGCTGGACTTGAATCTGTTGCTGCTGCTGCTGGTGCTGCTGGTGCTGGTGTTTGTTGCTCTGGCGCCAGTGCTTGTGCTGCGGCACGGGCAGCAGGCGGTAGAGGGGCTCCGGTCCGGGGCCGCTCGGGTAACTGGGCACAAAGTACGGCGGATAGGGATGCTTCGCGTTGCCGTGGCGCAAACGCTTGAACTGCGGCGGTGGCGGCGGCGGGGGCGGAGGCGCGGGACGCTGCCAGTACTGCAGTGGAGCCGGTGAGGGCGGACGCAGCTGGTACTTGGCCGGACGTGGCTGCAACTGATTGTCCAAGTAGGATGGCGGCAGGGGCGTGCTGTACACGCCCTGCTGGCTATCGTAGGGCAAGGGCGACGGCGATGGCGACTGCAGCTGCAGCTGTAGCTGCTGCTTGCCGACTCTCAGTTGGCGCTGGCGCTGCAGCAGGAGCGAGTCTGGCAGGTAGGAGGAGTCCTGCTCCTGGCCCGGCTGTATGGTCGGCTCCAGCTGCAGCTGCAGCTGCTGGTGCTTGCCCACGCGCAGCTGACGCTGGCGTTGCGGCTGCGGCTGGTAGACGATGGCCTTGAAGGCGTTTTGGTCCTGCTCGTCGGCGCTGTAGTTGACCATGGGCAGGAAGGGCTGCCTGTCGAAGTCGGGCGGCTGGAAGCGGGACGTCGCTGGTGCGGAAATGAGGTTGCTTCTGAGCAGCTGACCCAGCGCCGCGTCGTACTCCGAGTGCACTTGGACACGTGGCTTGGGCGTAATACTAACCACGGCCACGTCGTTCACGGGACTCGGCGGAGACTTGTAGTGCGGTCGCTTGGGTGGCTTTGTGGCCAGGAAGTCATTGATCACATTCGACTTGAGTGAGGATGGCTGGCGCTTGGCCTCGAAGTACTCATAGTATATGGGATTCGATTTAGACAACGGCGCCTGCTCGCGATCCCGATCCCGATCCCTATCTCGTTCCCGTTCCCTGCCCCGTTCCTCTTTCACCCTTTCGTTGGACCGCTCTGTGCTGGGCACAAACACCAGCTGGGCGGGCGGCTGTGGGCGTGGCGTTGTTGGCTGATAGTTGATGGGGTAAATGGGTATCGGCACCGCCACGGGCACCGGCACACGCTCGACGTACTTGTTCGGCGGCTGCTGCTGCTGCTGCTGTTGAGGCTGTTGCGGCTGTTGCTGCTGTTGCTGGTGTTGCTGGTGTCGTGGTGCGGGCGGCAGATATCCGATGGCATTGTACTTCACCGACAGGCGTGACGGAGCTCGCGTGGTGGTTGTGCTAGTGGTGCTGCTGCTGGTGGTGGTGCTGGTAGTGCTAGGCGTAGTGCTTGTTGTGCTGCTATACGGACGTCGCGTTGTTGTCGACGTGGTCGTCGCCTCCAGGAGGGTAAAGTGATCTGGCGGCGGGGGTAGCACAATGCCGGGCACCAACGGTCCCGGCGGCACCGGATTCGTGTAGTTGCTGCGGTAGACAAAGCTGTAAGCAGGCGGATAGTAGAGCGAGGGATCATCCTCGTCAAAGTCGCTGATGTTGGCGTGCAGCGCGCCTGGAGCAGAGACGCTGCCATTCGCGTGGAGTCCATTGATGAGCCAGGGCCCGAGCAGCGGACTCCTTAGCACCGCGTTGGGAGTCGGACTGGGATGTGGATGGGACGGCGGTTGCTCGGCCGGCGTCTCGTTGTTATAGAGCAGCCAGGGCGCGTAGGGCGTCGGGTAGACGTAGCTGGGCTCCGGGTCAGCTGTCTTAGGCGACGCATACGCTCCCGGCCGGGCAGCAGGATGCGACCCCTGGACGTGGGCAGCTCCATGGCCCTGGCCGTAGGCCGCGTGCTGGCCCACAGCGGATAACGTTGCATTGACAGCTGGCGTATGGAGGCTCTCGATTTGATTATCTCGGATAATTTGCAGTGGCCCATGCGGCTCGAGCTGCACGGGAAATGGAGGCGGCACCACCGGATTCGCCGGCAGCTTGATTTGGCGCGGCGGCGCATCGTAATCATCAATGGCTGGCCACGGCTCGCTGTCGCCACCATTGAGCTCGGCCTCATTCAGGCCGCCGCCCTTGATCACCAGCAAATGATCCTCGGCCAGCCAAATGTCCTGCTCATTGAGTCCGCCAAAGTTGCGCTCGTTGTCCTGTGGCACCTCCGGATTGCGTGCGTAGCTCAGCACGCCCGGACGCTTGGGCACGCGACGAAAGAGCTCCTTCTCAATCAAGCCGTACTTCCCATCGCGCACCTGATCCGCCAGAGTCTTCTTCGCGTCCTCCTTACCCTGTTTGCCTTGACCCTTGCCACTGGCCGACTCCGCCTCCTTGCCGGAGCCGGCGCTCAAGCGCAGTATGCCATTGTCCCAGTTATCGAAGTCATCCGGCTCACTGAGCAGCGCCTCGTCGTCATCCTGCTCCCGCTCTGGCGGCGTCGACGGCGATGGCGATGGCTTAGCCAGGCGATAAGTGCTGCTGGCCTTGCGTCGTTTCGTTGCGGCTGTTGTTGTTGATTTTCTCGTGACTGGGCTGGGGGTTGTTGTTGTTGTCGTCGTCGTTGTTGTTGTTGTTGTTGTTGTGGTAGTTGTTGCCGCTGTTGGCGCTGTGGTTGCTATTGCAATGCTCCTGCTGCTGTTGGCGCTCACCGCAGACACCTCATAGGTGGAATGGCCCTGCGCATTGTGAATGTGACCAGCCACCAAGCGCTGGATCATGCGCGGCCTGCGAACGAAGATAAGACACGCAGTTAGACATGGAACCAGCTCGAAGATCGGTGCAATTAATCAATGGCGGCGCCCGAAATGGGCAGACGCCTAAAACCAGCGACAGGCCAAGTCTCAGCCAGACACAAGAGCTGGCAATTCGGAGATTATTGCCCCAGTAAACTAGTTTAATAGACGTCAGCTAGACTATATGGTAGCTATAGATTGCTGATGGCTAGCCTATATGCGTCTATTCATTTCAATTAAAATAGTCCAAGAGTGTTGTGGGTACAAAAGAACTGAATTTCGGGACTGGACCTCTTGAGATGCGTTACTTCGGAAGGAATGAAAAATGTTGACATCAATGTATACTTAACAAGTAAGAAGGCTCCAGTCGAGACTGCTCGACTAGGAGATACCCTGAACCCTCCAAGCTGATATTCTAATCATTCTGGACTTCTTTTATGCACACATACATACACATGCACTTATAAGCACGCGCTCTGCTAACTGCGCAGTAGGCAGCGGCTGCGCTTGGGCTGCGCTGCAATGTGGGCAATATTATGGGAATTTATTTGTTGAATAATTTCTTTCGTAGACGTACAATCCTAATGAAACTTTCAGAACGCAATCATAATGTTCAAATGTATGTACATTCTAAAGCACAAGTCTCTAGTACTTGAAATGCGTTTTTTCCAAATTGGGGGCGAAAAGGGCGTGGTATCCAAAATCTGTAAATGAGAAAATCTATGTATCCATTAACTCTATATACAACGCAAATTTGAAATCTCCAGGTCTAAAAGTGTTCAAACTAGGCTGAAAAAACAATGTCGATTTTTCGATTATTCTCGATAAAAAAGTTATCGGATGAGTTATCGAAAAAATAAAGCAAACTTGTACTGCCTATGGTATACACGAGTATGCATGCCAAATTTCAGCTCTCTAGCTCTTATATCTTCTGAGATCCTTTTGCTCATACGGACGGACGGACGGAGGGACGGACGGACGGACGGACGGACAGACGGACAGGGCTATATCGACTCAGCTCGTTGTCCTGATCAAGAATATATATACTTTATGGGGTCTGCGATGATTCCTTCTGCCTGTTACATACTTTTCACAAAACCATTATACCCTGATTTCCCATTTTCAATGGGTTCAGGGTATAAAAAGAGTCTAAAACTGAAGTGTGAACAGACAACTGAAATCAGGTATTTTATTGGATGTGAGGATCGAACAAGTCTCGATTTCTTTTGAATAAACTGATTGAAGGCGGACAGACTAAGTCTAAGTTGGTATGACTATAAATATACTTCAACTTCCGCTTGGGTAGCTAAACTACTCTTAGCAAATTGGGTATTAAGGTATAGCTATGCGAAGGAAATCTTACAATGCCTTGCAAAATCGGCGATTACAAATCGATATTCCGCATTGAGTGGTAAGAGGTAAATATATATAAACTTGGAACAGATTTACTTTCGTTTCTCTTACAAATTAAAAATTATATATGAGTCTGCAATTGGGCTAAGAATACCCTATCTAGCATAAGAGGTATTTCAAAAAGTTTTAAAAATATGAAAAATCATATATAGTATAATTCGAATCAATACACTCATAAAATGGTATGTATACCCAAGCAGCAGCTTATGATGCTCTGTAAGTCCCTCAGTTTGCTTTATCCCCTAGGGTCCATCTATTTATACAGGCTTATATAGGTACATACATATATCGATACATACATATACATATACTATATTTCGTGCTTTTTGATTAGACAACCTAATATACCCCCCATTACAACAGCTACAGGGTATTCGTACTCGATCTAAATATGTTTCCTATTTAAAAGAGGCTTCTCAAGTTACTCGAGTTACTTCACCTATTTTGCCTTATTAGCATATCCCAATCGTGTCACGAGTGCTTGGAGCAGCTCGTGCTCGTGTCACGCGCTCATCTGCATATTCAAGCTCAAGTCTAGGAAAAGAAAAAAAAGATCAGGCAAAAGTGGAACTCACGTTTTGTTGGGATTGGGGCCGCTGCGCGAGACAGCGCCTGGCCTGGAGGACAGCGACGAGAGCGACTGATGCGACTGATGCGACTGAGGCCAGCCGCTGGCGCTGCTCGGGCTGAATGACTCTGATGCGCTGGGCGTGGGCGTGTCACGTGGCTGGCGGGCGCCTCTGAAGCTGCTGCGGCTGCGACCACGCCCATTGCTGTCAGCTGAGGCTGGGGCCATCGTCGTCGTCGTTGTTGTTGTTGTTGCCGTTGTTGTGGCACGACGTCGCTGCTGCCGCACCGTTGCTGGCGGCAGAGGCGTGGTGCTGCCGGCGCTGCCACCGCGACGCCCATGGCCATTGTCGATGGGCAGCGTCGTGGGCGGCCGCCGTTGGCGCGGCGCTCGCAGCGTTGGCGCCTGCGTGCTGGTCGTCGAGGAGGCGCTCGCATAGTTGGTCGCGCCTCTGCCGCGCGGCGCAACGGGACGCGTTGCCGCATCGCCCTCTGCTGCCACGGCGACTGCAGCTGCTGCGGCTGCTGCCACGGCCAGCAGAGCTATCACTATCAAGTGCAAGGTTAAAGATGTCATCTGTGAAGAGAAGCGAAACGAACAGCAAAAAAAATGCATGAGTATTGAGGGTTACATGAGCTAACGGTAAGTCGCAGCTGCGCAGGCGCCGTTACGTTTTGGCGTTACGTTTTCGATTCGGTTCGTTTTCAATTATGCAATTGCGTTGACGAAAACGATGCCGTGGTAGTCGACAGCAAAATACCCTATAGTTTCGGCTAAGCGCGTTTTAGGCTAAGTATGGAACGGGACTACGGGAGAGAATATTTGGAATGTCACGAATTCATTTGTGGCGTAAAAGTGCTAGATCAAAAAAATAAAAATAAAAAAACAAAAAAAAAAAAACAAAAAGTACAAAATATCAGTCAATCATGTTTCGAATCAAAATGTACAGCTGCAAAAGGCATTTAGCTATGTATTATATAAAACTAGTTAAATAGCATTTCAGTCTACAATATGTCCCATATGAACTGATTATCTAAGCAATCATAATAGAATCTTGACAATGTGCTGAAATATGTATGTTTTATTACCTTAATATTATTATTATTATTATTTTTTTTTTTTTTGGCATTAAAGTGGGATAGATTTAACTTAAATTAAAAGCTAATTAAGAAAAGTAGAATTAAATCAAAGTACATAGCATTTTTAATTCAAATTTTATAAAAAGGCCAAATTGAAAAGCAATCCCTCGATTTCTACTTTTTCATGCAGTTAATTTGTTAGCTGATTAAATAGGCATATATGTATGTATACCTATATTATACAGTCAAGTCAACAATATAGATATACATATACATTAAAAGTATTTAATATAAATACTTAAGATAATACTCCTCATTCAACCCAACATCGATGTATAATCTATAGCATGAGTCCTAATATGCCCCTTCAATGCATGCTTCAGTACAGGGTATAACAGCGTTCAGGTTCGTTAAGCTTGCAATGCTTGTTCAGCGTCAGTTCAGCTCAATTCATTTCATTTCATTGGATTTCCTTTCATGTCATTCCGATTCCATTCCGTTTCGTTTCATGCGGCTTTACCTGCCGCCACAGCTTGCGCATCTTTGATTCCGATGCGCTCAAGTGCATCTTGCAATGCATTTGCCATCGTCTGCTTTTTTATCTTCACTTGTTTATTGCTATTGTTGTTTTTACAGTTGCTGCTGTTGCTGTTGCTGTTGCTGTTATTATTGCTGTTGCTGTTAGCTTTGCGCACGCGCCAAGTTTCAATTGCCATTTGTAGCTGTTGGTGTTGCTGTTGCTTCGCTCATGTTAATTAGCTTCGCTCAATTGATAAATGGGCAAAGCCTGCGCGGCTTTTGGGCTTTTGTGGCTCGGCTCGTCGTCTTCGATGATTTGTGGGAGCGCGCGCGAGTCTCGAGCTGGCGCTGGGCCTGCTCTGCACACCGGCAGCTGGGGGACTTCAAAGCGCGCTTAGTTATGTGATTACTCATTGCAATTGAAACGGTAGACGGTGTACGATCATCAATTTGAGACCCATTTCGGTATTTATTTTCACTATGTTTACCAATCGCTGTGCGATGGCTTGTTTACAGTTTTACTTAACATTGATGGGATTAAGTAATTTCGGGCTGTAAATTATTGGATACCTGACTGAATCTCGAGGGTTTACTAAGCGCTTTCAAATCGGATTGGTTTTGGCTAGCTTTAAGTAAGTTTAAAGCTCGCGTGTGTCAGAAATAGGAGCAAGATAATTATATATATAGAAAAGTACATGACAGATCAGATAAGTTTGCTTATCGTTTTCGCTCAATCACAGATTAAATATTATTGGAATTGAGTCAAGATTACTGATCAAAATTATTTGATATCAAGGAATTGTTTGAATGCAAAATGAAGCACTACAAAACGAAGCCAAGAGATTTACTTGAATACGGTAGACATTAATTAAATAGTTAATACACTGTGATAAATATTTTAAAATTTGCTCTCTATATATATATATACATATGCTTACAACAATATATTTGTATATGTTAGATTTTACCATTATTATTTGTAGTACAGGGTCTGTATAGATAATATACAGACATACATATGTAATCATAATATATAGCTCAAAGTTGAAATTAAACGGAATGGAACATACTAGAATCAGGCTTAGATCAGAGCGAGCCGAAATTCGGTCTTATCCATTTTCCCTTTGCATGCAGAGTGCGCTTCCTGCTTTTAGCTATTCCTCTCGATCCCGATCCTGTTCTTTGCTCGAACTCCACCACACTAGGCTATAAAGTTGTCATCTGCTCTATTTTATTATTATTCCTTAACGTAATTAACATTCTTATTAAATTGAAAATCCTTTATTTTTCAGTGTAACTTTACTGCAACACCCGCTCCAATTTGTTCAGCGTACACTGATGATTCCTTCTTTAAAATGAGCTTCTGTCACATCAGACATCATTCAGTCACAGATCGACATCATCGTACCCTTTTTAAGGAGATAGTCTATAGCCCTCAAAGGTTTATAGTACTGAAAGGTTTGTGCAAATGAAAGATACCTGTCGTCAGTTCTCCCTGAGTAATGAGCCTATCTTTATCCCTATCCCTGGTCAAGTACAGGCGGCTTACTTGGTTGCAACCGATCAAAGCTTAGACTGAGCAATAAACTGACAATATACAAGGCGATATTCAAGCCTGTTTGGACCCATGGGCTCTTAGTTTGTGGAGTGGTCTATGATACCAAAATCCTAACCATGAAATTTTTTCTAAAGCAAACCCTCAGAATTATCAGAAAAGCTTTGTTTCATGAGAGATATGCTCTTCCAAGGCTGACTCGGGAAAGGTTACGATACCATCCTCTGGATCTGTCCCTCAGGCTGCAAGGCGCAGTAGAACTTCTCCAACCCCCCTCTCCTTAGCCCATAAATAGTTGAGTCAACTTCAGCTACTGTTAATGCTAATGTCTGTAGTGTTTGTCTCTCCCCATTAATCATATCTCTGAATAATTGTTCCACTGAATAGATTGCAAATCAAGAGAACAAAGAGAGAAACTACAAATAAATTACAATTCTTCATAGCAAACTATTGATTTGCTCTGAAGCAGACATTATTAAAATATATACATATGTATGCAGCTATATACACACGTAGCTATGCATAGGTCCATTGAAAAGTATTTCAGTCCATTGAGGACTTGCCAAATAACATGTCCAGCAATTTCACTGCAATTGCAGTTGAAGTTGATTTACTGGCCGAAGCCCGTTGGCCAGGCTAACAATTCAATGCGAATTCCGAGCATTGCGAATGCCTTTATGCGCAGAACAATCAAATTATCAGACTTACAAAAAAATAAAATAAAAAGAGCAAAAAAGAAATAAGACGAAAAACATAGCAACAAAATTTGAAAAAATGTTTAAAAATGAATTGGGTCCAATTTAATCTATGACACCATCGCCCCGAACTGCTTTCAAATAAACTAATTAAATTGAGGTAAAGCAACAAAATAACACAAGAAAAAACAACAACAACAACAACAACAACAACAACAACAACAACAACGACAGCAGCAGCAGCAGCAAAAATAAGGCGCAGGCAGTCAGCGGCTGCAAAAACAAGCGACTGCAAAGAATTATTTATTGCCAATAGACGAGGCGTCGCTGTCGCTGTCGCAGTCGCAGTCGGCGTCAGCGTCAACGTCGCGACGTTGCCTTTCATTCAAAATGCAAACGCGCTAGGCTTGGCCTGGAACGTGGAACATATGGAACGTGAAACGTGGAACGTGCGCGGCTGGCTCTATGACGAATCTGAGCGCGACTGCGCAGCCACTACAAACACCGTTAGGCAGCGGCGGCGCGAGCGCGCGCACGCGAACAGTTTTCATGTCGAACAATACCCTATGCTAATCGCATGCCAATCGTTGGGCATACCGGCATTACATTTTGTTGTATAGCCATACATATATATATTGATATATGGCTATATACTGTATGATTTTATAAAATATTACTAAATATTAAATAATTTGCAAAGAAGTTTTACATACAGATGTATTGGTTATATTATGATATACAACAATATATAGTGTGTTATTTTGACGATATATTGTATAATACGCAAAACATCCACACACTCATATACACATACATACACACAGGGCTCTCCATATTTCACGGATCCATCTGGCAGCACTGGTCATTTGATAAAGAGATAAGAGATTCGATAATGATTAAATCCTATTTTCTCCGATTAAAAAAAATAATAATTAAATAAAAATAATTGATGTAGGGCTGTCAGATGGGTACGTCGAATATGGGTATCTCTATATATATATATATTTAATTTATTACTGGGTATTTGCCAGTCGCTCAGTCGTGTTTCAATCAGCTTTGTTACTATTTTACTGCCTTATATTTTCGAGTTGAGTTTTGTTATATATAAACTTGTATTTATTTATTTTTTTGGTTTTTGTTTTACTTTTGATTGCCAAACAACAATTTGATTGTTGTTGTTGTTGTTGCTGGTTCTACGTGAAGAAAAAAAAAGCGCGCTGGACAGGCGCTGACGCTGGCGCTGGCGCATTCCGCTGCCTCGAATCCAGTTACGAATCACGTTCCATTTGATTGTTTCAGTTTTTCGGCTTTGCCTTTTTGGCTTTTATAGCATAATTTTTGTTATTGTTGTTACTTTTTCTATTTGGCTGCACTTTGCAGCAATATGCATTTGTTGTTGTTGTTGTTGTTGTTTGTATTATGCTTTTTGGGCTCGGCAATTGCGCCCACAGTGCGACGGCGACGCCGCTGTCGATGCCCAAGCCGATGCCGATGCCGGCGCCTGCACTTGGACACACTCCGAATCGAAAAGTAGAGCCCGAAAACAACTTCAAGACTTCAACCTGTCGCTTAAAGTTGGCCAATTAGACACGTTCGCAGCGCGTATGAGTCAACAATCAACAACAACAACAACAACAAATTGACAACAAAAGTAAAATGTTATTTATGATTTTTGATTTCAATTTGTTGTCCTTGATTTGGGTTTGGCTTTTATTTCGATTTCGTTAA